CAGAGCAAAGTGAAGTAACCTTCCCAAGCCATATAGCAAGCAAGGTCAAAGCTGGAAGAGGAATCCAGGAAGCCTTCACAACCATGCCTCCTAGCCATTGATCAGTTCAACAAAAAACAGGAAAAGGGTAATATGGAGAGATAGTATTAAAAATGTTATATACAACAGAGAGCCTGGAACATTTTGTGATAAGGAAGTTGTCAAAGACTGGGCGGGTCCTGTCGAGAGGACTCATGAGCTAAACGGAAGAGGTTCTCCTCGCCTAAAGAAAATAAATCTGAGCATCATTAACTGTGGTGGATTGAAACACATCAATATTTTTAGACCTATAGGTTTAAAATTACTCAGAGGGAAAAAAAAAAAACTCATCGGCCCCTTTAGAGAAACTAGGAAATAACTCATTCTGAAAACTGGTAAGTAGAGGAAAAGAATCAGGCATTTATCCTGCTGATACTGTGTAGAACTTACAGTAAGTAAATTGTTGATGAGAGCAAATTTCTCCTAATAGAAATATTCCATATAATAAATGAGGCAGGAATAATAGATCAGCACCATTTTTAACCCCATATAAAATAATGGATTAGGCAATGAATGCTAACATGACAGAAGACAAAGCCAGACAGTATGTGCTTCCTGGTGGAATTATCACATCACCATCTATGAAACATTCAGGCAAAAAAAAAAAAAAATCAAAACCTGAATCAGATTGTACCTCTAGATTTGACTCCTGATTTATAAGAAATGCAGGAGACAGAGAAGTGTTTTAAATGACACCATGGGGAATGAGATTAGCAAAATCTAGACTGGGACACTTTATAAGACATAGAACTTGATTTCTTCAATACACAAATTGCAGGGAAAAGGGGACAATAGGGATTTAAGAGATTAAAAAAGACTAATTGCAATGATTTCATTTGCATTCTATTTAGAGGAAAACTCCTGCAAAACATTTTGAGACAATCAGAGAAATTAAAATACTGCTTGGGTATTTAATTTTTTTTTTGACCTATCTTATTGATTTGGGGCTTCTTTTCTTTTTTCTTTCTGTTTTGTTTGTTTGGTTGGTTGGTTCTCTTTTTTTGAGGGGGAGGTAATCAGGTTTGTTTGTTTGTTTGTTTGTTTATTTATTTATATTTATTTTTTAGTGAAGATACTGAGGATTGAACCCAGGGCTTCATGCATGGTAAGCATGAGCTCTACCACTGAGCCATACCTTCCCCTGGATATTTGATTAAACTAATGGATTTTGTTCAATTTTTAAGTGTAAAGATGACATTGTAGTTATACTTTTAGAAAGAAATCTTGTCTTTTAGTGATGCATGCTGAAATATTTGTGGATGAAAATATATGATTTCTAAGATTACCTTTAGTGTATTTCAAGAGCCAGGGGGAAGTGAATGAGGGAGAGATGCAAAAAGATTGGCCATGAATTGATCATTGTTGAAGCTGAGTGATGAGTACATGGAGGCTCATCAGACTCTTCTTTCTACTTTTATACAGGATTTAATATTTCCATAACAAAACATTGTGAATGGTACAAACATATCTTAATTTTATTCTTATTTAAAATATTTAACTCTTTTGCTGTAGAACTGAGGGCTAGTATAAGGCCATGTGTGAAGGCATAGACTAAGGACCAGACTGCCTGAGTTTGAATGTCAGCTCTACCACTTACCAGTTGGATAATCTAGAGTAGGGAGCTTCAGGTCATTCTATGCTCAGTTTCCTCATTGTAAAATGGGGTTAACAATGCCATGCACTTAATATATCATTGAGTTTTTATGACAATAAAATGAGTATAAGTTCTCCAGCGACTAGAACAGTCCTTGGCACATATGAAGCACTACATGTATTTATGATTTTTATTGTTTCTTTTTTTGTCTTTGGATATGACTCCTGATAAATATCTTCACTCATTTTGCATTTTATAAGTATGATTCTGATTCTGATCCCACTTCTGATCACCAACTCCAATTCTGAAACCAACTAACAATTCTGGTACCAATTCCAACATGCGGTGGTCTTCCCCACATAACCAAGCAATTCATTCTCAGACACCAGCTGCGTGTCCTACAATTCGACTCAATTCTGACACTACCTGGAGAGAGCATCAGATCCCACAGGTTAAGGGCTCAGTCCTACAAGGCTGCCTCCCACACACCCCCTACTTCAGATGCCAATCTCAAGTTTAGGCTATTATCTGTGTTTCTGACCTCCCCCGCAAATAGATTGGAGGTTCCAACAACCCCTTCCTTGGGTTTAATTAATTTGTTTGAGTGTCTCACAGAACTCAGAGAAACATTTTACTTACTAGATCACCTTTTATTGTAAAAGGATGTAACTCAGGAACAGCCAGATGGAAGAGATGCACAGGACAAGTTATGGGGCAAACACACAGAGCTTCCATACCCTCCTCACCTGTACCACTCTCCCCCAGTATCTATGTGTTCACCAACAGGAAGATCTCCAAACCCTTCTGGGTTTTATGGAAGCTTCATTGCATAGGCATCATGGATTAAATTGTTGGCCGTTGGTTCTTGAACTCAACTTCCAACTCCTCTTCTTTCCCCCAAGGTCTGGGTGTGGGTCTGAAAGTTTCAACCCCCTAATCACTTGGTTGGTTCTCCCAGCCAGCCCCCATCCTTAGGTTACACAGGTGCTTTCCAAAAGTTGCCTCATTAAAATGACAAAAGGCACGTTTATCACTCACATCACTTAGGAAATTCCAAGGGGTTTAGGAGCTCTGTGCCAGAAGACCAAATATATACTTCTTATTATTAATCACAATATAACAATATTCACCTATTCAATCATTCACCCTTAATGCATCAGCTACAATTTTCCAGTTTCTTTAAAGTGGAGAAGAATTTAAAGACACTAAGGGCAAATCCTGCTAGATTTTAATGATTTACTTTCAGCCTTTCATAGTTACTTGTCCACACTTAATCTGACAGTATTTTTTTTTTTTGGCATGCCTCACCTTTATCAAGTCTTTACAAAGTATCTTGACTTCCTTAAGACTGTTCTTTCTGCATTATATTTTTCATTATTTACAGAATTTCTAATTGCATTACAAATTTTCAATTGTAATCTTTTTAAAAGTGTCTGGGAACAAAGAAACTGACTCCTGGTAAGCAGACAATACAACTGGCAGAAGAAGGGCCCAGGTGCATTCTGAGGCCTGTGTTAAGCTGACTGAGGGCATCAGATGTGGGCTTTACAGAGAGACTGGAGGCTGCATTAGTTAATCTGGTGGGTTTGTCAAGTGGAAATCAGTTGGGAACCTGGTGTGTACAAGTGAACAGTGGTTTTGTTTGGGTAGCAGAGTCTGCCTTCTTTTTCAATTTGTTTTGATGATGATGTATGATAACTCCACTGTAGAAAAAAAATTAACACTTCAAATCTTTGAAAATACTTTTTTTTTCAGTAAATGCAATCACAGAGGACTAGAATGCAAACACAAAGAAAATGTGCAATGAATATTGTTCATTCATACACCCTTGTATGCAAATAACGGGTTGCTAGATTCTACAGGACACTAGGCTCTGAGCATTGGTGGTCATTGCTGTCACTTGTTGCAAGGACAATGTAAATATTGGGTGCTGCTCTTATATGGTGCGATTTCCTAAATGCCACAGCAGTCCAACTTCATACTAAGAAGTTTCACACACTCTCATATTCACATTCTAGTTTCATTTTGACTCTAAAGTTACACAGAAACCAAATGATCAAATCTGCATTTCCTTCTAAATCTACATGCAAATAGTGAGGCAGGGATTTCCCTTGCCATTGGCATTCCTTAGCAGAAAGGACTCTAGACAACCTCGGACTCTGAAGATGTGACCTGCCTGAACATTAATCTGGTCCAACTGAGTTAGACCCCATCTGGTGTTTTGCCAGATTTCACAGACCTCACTCAGGTCGGCTCCTCTGTGACACACCATTGTTACTTTGCTTTCTGATTAGCTGCTAATTCTCACAGTCCTCCTTGAAGAGGAGAGAGGAAGTGAGAGAAGTGTGTAGCTAGTGCTGTATTCAGTTCTCATCATTTGCCAGGTGGGGAAGCCAAAGTTACAAGTCAGATCTGTTTTTATCACACTGGGGCATTCCACGTCTCTCCTGACTCTGAGATTTGATCGCAGGGGCACTTCGTGGGGTGTACTTGCCAGAGAAGTATTGGAACTAAGCTCATCTCCTTGCAGTGACAACTTGAGAAAGTTTAAAAGTATGGGTTTAAAGTTGTGGCTGGGACCTACCTGTTCCTGCTCCTTAGAACTTCACTCCATGCTTCTAGAAGCCTGAGCCAGGAGTCCTTTCAGAAGAGCCCCACCACTTATGAACTATGCAGGTGAAGCTGAACAAATTGTGTCCCCAGAAGCTTTAAATATAATGATGTCACTCACAGATAGTACATTCAGATTTACATTTAATCGGGGGAGGTATTTCCTAGTTATCACAACATTCCACACGCTGGCAAGTCAAACACATAAAACGCACAGCAGCTCCCTCTGAAGAAACCTCTTCAATCTAACATTTCCCACAACTTGCTCCACCTTATTCTATTTTCCTTCTAATCTCCAGCAGATCACTCTTTCATAAACTGAAAACCTGCTGATATTATTCAAAATAACTCCAAACCACAAACATTTATTGGATTCATTCATTCACTTAACAACTGTTGAAGGATCTCTAGGAATTTATGCAAGATTCATGACAACTAGGCTTGGAAAAGAAAGATGACCATGGCAGTGCCATTTCTGAAGTCAAGGGAAAATGGTGTCTGATTATGAAATCAGATACTTTTGAAATTATTTTTATTTTTATAGGACTCCATGCGTATAATCATAGTGACAGTGTGTGAATTTCTACAATACAGAAACCCACCTAAAGGCAGTCTAAAGTTATAAGAATGTAGAGTATCACTGTGGTTTCTTTGGAATCCAGAGGCAAGAACGAATCCAACAGAATCCCCAAAATATAAGTTGCTTTAAGCCAAACTCTAGATAAAGGGGTACATGTAACATAAATGTATTCCTCAAATGCTATCTAAATTAAATGCAGATATTTGGTTTTCAGTCCATCATTTGTCTTAGTCTAAAAAATAAAAATCTAATAAAATATACTTTTGAAAATGGACATGAGATCAGGGCTGCTGGTGGAAGATTGTTTTCAGCAATTTCTGCAACAATTTCTCTTTGCATGGCATCTGTGCCTGGTGATTTTGCCACTCTTTTAATTAAGAACTGATATATATTTTCCCCTCCTTTAATCTGGGCTGACCTTGAAAATTGCTTAGACTAATAGAATGTGATGGATGTAATACTGTGTATGTTCCAAGCCAAAGCCTCACAAAGCCTTGTAGCTTCCCTAGGATGCTGCCCTGGGGCTGCCGTGTAAGAAAACCAGTCTAGACGGTGGATGTTTGAGGGGCCACATGGGGAAGCACCACCAGGCAGGCGAGTGAGGTTAGCTGGACCTTCCCATCTAACTTCTGAGCCTCTAGTTGAATGCAGACACATGGGTAAGCCCAGTGAAATCAACAGAAGAAAAGTCCAGAATGATTCATATATTATTGCTGTTTCAAGTCACTTAAATTTTTTATTGTTTTTCACATAACATAAAATTTACCATTTTAACCATTTTCAAGTGTACAATTCAGTGGTATTTAGTATATTCACAGTGTTTTGCAACCATCACTACTATCTAGCTCAACAGTATTTTCATCATCCCATAGGAAACCTTCTACCCATTAAGCAGTCATTCTCCATCACCTGCCTTCCCCTCAGCCCCTAAAAACAACTAAGTTTTCTGTGTCTATGGATTTCCCTATTCTAGATATTTCATATAAAGGGAATCATTTGGTATATGGCTTTTTGTGTCTGGCTTTCCTTATTTAGCACGATGTTTTCAAGGTTCATCCGTGTTGTAGCATGTATCAGTAGTTCACCACTTTTTATGGTCAATTAATACTTCACTGTATGGATATACTACATTCTGTTGTCTGTTCATCAGTTAATGGACATTTGGGTTATTTCTACCTTTTGGCTGTTATAACTAATGCTGCTAGGAATAGTTGTGTGTAAGTTTTTGTTTGAATAACTGTTTTTCAGTAGTTTTCAATCCTTTTGGGTTTATACCTAGGACTGGAATTGCTGGACCACATAGCAATTTTATGTTTAATTTATTGAGGAATCACCAAATGGGTTTCCATAGCAGC